TCAGCATTACCCTGGTCCCTATCTCTTACCTGTTTATTCGCTTCGCTCGGTGGGTAGACACTGGGTGCATCTACACATGTACTTAACTGTGGAATTGACTAATTAGCTCAACAGTAAAGCATCACTGTCTACATGTACAATGCTATTAGGCCACATTAAACTAATTAACTCCACTAGAATAGTACTACCCAGCAAAAGAACTATATCCTATGGTGGAGTTTAGTGTACCACAAGGAGTGTGTAGACGATGACTGCAGCTGGCAAGTTCCACGCTGTAGCACCCTTGTGTACCAGCCAGCCCCTCCACAGCACAGTGAGCTGGGGTAGACTAGTTCTGCATTGACAGCCTCCTACCCTCGGGCCCCCTACCAGCTGGGCTCCACCACCCCAGCTTAACGTGCTATGGTCTCATGCACATGTGTAAATGCTGCACCCAGGAGCAATAAACTGCAGTGTGAACTGTGCTGGAATTTATGCAGGTGCACTAATTTCACATGTAGCTGTGCCCACTATTCATTAATTTCTTCCTTCCATAGTATACTGCTTTTTCTTGAAGAACAAAAATATTAGGAAGAACAACTGATTTGGTCAAAATACAGGGGGATCAAGATCCGAGTTAGGGATTTCTTTGTTAAAAGTTAGCGTCTTTAGAACATTGATATGTGTTAAGAAGTTGGTTTTCCACAGCAGAAAAGATAGGGCCTTGTCACATGGGACACTTAGCACATGTTATACCTGAGATTGTAATGAGCATTGCTGTTGTCCTATAATCTGGACAGGGCTGGAACCAACTTTGCAATGATATAATCACATTTAGCATGTATTTTACTACTTGAACATGCAGGTGCTCACATTTTAAGTGCAGTTTACATGTCATAAGTGTAATGTGTGACATGAACCATAGGTGCTTATTTATGTATTGCTTTGAATCCCAATGCAAAGCACTTTTTCCATAGAGGAGTCTGATGGCTAGGGTTACCTGAAGAACATTTGCCTTTAAGGAGATCAGTGAGGTAGGACTGTTGTTGTAGCCATGAGGGTCTAGGTTATATGCATGAAAGTTGCCATAAGATATTACCAAAAAAACCTTGCTTTGAGATCATCAGTCCAATGTCTTCATGCTTTCTTGACAGGCTATTTTCTCCCAAGTTGGAGAGTATCCTATCCTATTTTGACACTAAGGCCTCCTCTACATGTGCAGGTAAAGGTGTGATGGCATCTAATGCATGATCCAGACAACAGTGTCTCTTGCCATGCCATACATGCAAGGCAGGAGGTGCAGTTGTGGGATCATGCATGAGATCCCATTGCACCTTATTGTTGGTGTAGGGGGAGCCTGATCTAGGGCTCCCCCTGCACTGGCAAGAAGCAGGCTCCTGTGGCTGGGAGCCCCGCACACCCTAGTTGAGGGACTCTCAGCTCTAGGGACACCCCATGCACCCCAGAGTTGGGAGTGGGGATCGCAGTCTCCTTGCCCTGGGGTTGTGTAAAAAAACCCAGAATGGGAAGATCACTGAAGAGGCAATCTCCATGCACCAATGGTGTGGGAAATCTCTGAGTTGGGAGTGTTGCCACAGTCTCCTGAGGCTGGAGACGAGCAGGGGAACGAGCAGGGGGCTGGAGACCAGGGGGAACTTTAAGGGGGGACTCTAGCCTCTGGGAGGAGGGGCTGGGACCCTGCAGACAGGGCACTTCTTGGGGGGGGGGGGCT